TGATTTTCGGAATCAGCGTGCTGAGAAGGCTTTGTGAGCCAATTTTCAGCCAAATCGGGATGGCCCGGTCATGGGTGGTAAGAACTTTAGAGGGTTCTATCTCGAGAACGGTCAATATTTCCACCCTAGAGACCATGATTTTCGGAATCAGCGTGCTGAGAAGGCTCTGTGAGCCAAATTTCAGCTAAATCGGGATGGCCCGTTTCTCGCTGCTGGACTCGCTGCGAGGGTTCTATCTCGAGAACGGTCAATATTTCCACCCTAGAGACCATGATTTTCGGAATCAGCGTGCTGAGAAGGCTCTGTGAGCCAATTTTCAGCCAAATCGGGATGGCCCGGTCATGGGTGGTAATAACTTTAGAGGGTTCTATCTCGAGAACGGTCAATATTTCCACCCTTGAGACCATGATTTTCGGAATCACCGTGCTGAGAAGGCTCTGTGAGCCAATTTTCAGCCAAATCGGGATGGCCCGGTCATGGATGGTAAGAACTTTAGAGGGTTCTATCTCGAGAATGGTCAATATTTCCACCCTAGAGACCATGATTTTCGGAATCAGCGTGCTGAGAAGGCTCTGTGAGCCAAATTTCAGCTAAATCCGGATGGCCCGTTTCTCGCTGCTGGACTCGCTGCGAGGGTTCTATCTCGAGAACGGTCAATATTTCCACCCAAGAGACAATGATTTTCGGAATCAGCGTGCTGAGAAGGCTTTGTGAGCCAATTTTCAGCCAAATCGGGATGGCCCGGTCATGGGTGGTAAGAACTTTAGAGGGTTCTATCTCGAGAACGGTCAATATTTCCACCCTAAAGACCATGATTTTCGGAATCAGCGTGCTGAGAAGGCTCTGTGAGCCAAATTTCAGCTAAATCGGGATGGCCCGTTTCTCGCTGCTGGACTCGCTGCGAGGGTTTTATCTCGAGAACGGTCAATATTTCCACCCTAGAGACCATGATTTTCGGAATCAGCGTGCTGAGAAGGCTCTGTGAGCCAATTTTCAGCCAAATCGGGATGGCCCGGTCATGGGTGGTAAGAACTTTAGAGGGTTCTATCTCGAGAACGGTCAATATTTCCACCCTTGAGACTATGATTTTCGGAATCACCGTGCTGAGAAGGCTCTGTGAGCCAATTTTCAGCCAAATCGGGATGGCCCGTTTCTCGCTGCTGGACTCGCTGCGAGGGTTCTATCTCGAGAACGGTCAATATTTCCACCCAAGAGACAATGATTTTCGGAATCAGCGTGCTGAGAAGGCTTTGTGAGCCAATTTTCAGCCAAATCGGGATGGCCCGGTCATGGGTGGTAAGAACTTTAGAGGGTTCTATCTCGAGAACGGTCAATATTTCCACCCTGGAGACCATGATTTTCGGAATCAGCGTGCTGAGAAGGCTCTGTGAGCCAAATTTCAGCTAAATCGGGATGGCCCGTTTCTCGCTGCTGGACTCGCTGCGAGGGTTCTATCTCGAGAACGGTCAATATTTCCACCCTAGAGACCATGATTTTCGGAATCAGCGTGCTGAGAAGGCTCTGTGAGCCAATTTTCAGCCAAATCGGGATGGCCTGGTCATGGGTGGTAAGAACTTTAGAGGGTTCTATCTCGAGAACGGTCAATATTTCCACCCTTGATACCATGATTTTCGGAATCACCGTGCTGAGAAGGCTCTGTGAGCCAATTTTCAGCCAAATCGGGATGGCCCGGTCATGGATGGTAAGAACTTTAGAGGGTTCTATCTCGAGAATGGTCAATATTTCCACCCTAGATACCATGATTTTCGGAATCAGCGTGCTGAGAAGGCTCTGTGAGCCAAATTTCAGCTAAATCCGGATGGCCCGTTTCTCGCTGCTGGACTCGCTGCGAGGGTTCTATCTCGAGAACGGTCAATATTTCCACCCAAGGGACAATGATTTTCGGAATCAGCGTGCTGAGAAGGCTTTGTGAGCCAATTTTCAGCCAAATCGGGATGGCCCGGTCATGGGTGGTAAGAACTTTAGAGGGTTCTATCTCGAGAACGGTCAATATTTCCACCCTAGAGACCATGATTTTCGGAATCAGCGTGCTGAGAAGGCTCTGTGAGCCAATTTTCAGCCAAATCGGGATGGCCCGGTCATGGGTGGTAAGAACTTTAGAGGGTTCTATCTCGAGAACGGTCAATATTTCCACCCTTGAGACTATGATTTTCGGAATCACCGTGCTGAGAAGGCTCTGTGAGCCAATTTTCAGCCAAATCGGGATGGCCCGTTTCTCGCTGCTGGACTCGCTGCGAGGGTTCTATCTCGAGAACGGTCAATATTTCCACCCAAGAGACAATGATTTTCGGAATTAGCGTGCTGAGAAGGCTTTGTGAGCCAATTTTCAGCCAAATCGGGATGGCCCGGTCATGGGTGGTAAGAACTTTAGAGGGTTCTATCTCGAGAACGGTCAATATTTCCACCCTGGAGACCATGATTTTCGGAATCAGCGTGCTGAGAAGGCTCTGTGAGCCAAATTTCAGCTAAATCGGGATGGCCCGTTTCTCGTTGCTGGACTCGCTGCGAGGGTTCTATCTCGAGAACGGTCAATATTTCCACCCTAGAGACCATGATTTTCGGAATCAGCGTGCTGAGAAGGCTCTGTGAGCCAATTTTCAGCCAAATCGGGATGGCCCGGTCATGGGTGGTAAGAACTTTAGAGGGTTCTATCTCGAGAACGGTCAATATTTCCACCCTTGAGACCATGATTTTCGATATCACCGTGCTGAGAAGGCTCTGTGAGCCAATTTTCAGCCAAATCGGGATGGCCCGGTCATGGGTGGTAAGAACTTTAGAGGGTTCTATCTCGAGAACGGTCAATATTTCCACCCTAGAGACCATGATTTTCGGAATCAGCGTGCTGAGAAGGCTCTGTGAGCCAAATTTCAGCTAAATCGGGATGGCCCGTTTCTCGCTGCTGGACTCGCTGCGAGGGTTCTATCTCGAGAACGGTCAATATTTCCACCCTAGAGACCATGATTTTCGGAATCAGCGTGCTGAGAAGGCTCTGTGAGCCAATTTTCAGCCAAATCGGGATGGCCCGGTCATGGGTGGTAAGAACTTTAGAGGGTTCTATCTCGAGAACGGTCAATATTTCCACCCTTGAGACCATGATTTTCGGAATCACCGTGCTGAGAAGGCTCTGTGAGCCAATTTTCAGCCAAATCGGGATGGCCCGGTCATGGGTGGTAAGAACTTTAGAGGGTTCTATCTCGAGAACGGTCAATATTTCCACCCTTGAGACCATGATTTTCGGAATCACCGTGCTGAGAAGGCTCTGTGAGCCAATTTTCAGCCAAATCGGGATGGCCCGGTCATGGGTGGTAAGAACTTTAGAGGGTTCTATCTCGAGAACGGTCAATATTTCCACCCTAGAGACCATGATTTTCGGAATCAGCGTGCTGAGAAGGCTCTGTGAGCCAATTTTCAGCCAAATCGGGATGGCCCGGTCATGGATGGTAAGAACTTTAGAGGGTTCTATCTCGAGAATGGTCAATATTTCCACCCTAGAAACCATGATTTTCGGAATCAGCGTGCTGAGAAGGCTCTGTGAGCCAATTTTCAACCAAATCGGGATGGCCCGGTCATGGATGGTAAGAACTTTAGAGGGTTCTATCTCGAGAACGGTCAATATTTCCACCCTAGAGACCATGATTTTCGGAATCAGCGTGCTGAGAAGGCTCTGTGAGCCAAATTTCAGCTAAATCGGGATGGCCCGTTTCTCGCTGCTGGACTCGCTGTTCGCTGCTCGCTGCTAGTTTGACAGACGTATTGTAGTTAGGACCTAAACTTGACATATACCGAATATTCTGCTGGTTGTGATATCACACCTCTGGCCAGACAGGAAAAAATGCATGCTATGCTGAATATGTCTGGTGTAGTGGCGGGATTGCGCCAAAAATGTTGGAGCCTGTCTGGCATTACTTCACTTATGCCAAATTCAGCACATAGGGGCTGCAGAATTATTCGGGGAGTGGCGGTCGCCAAATTTTTCAGCAAATGGTGATCACCAATTTTTAGGCACTATGGCCAATCTAGCAGCAGATTCGCCCTGAGGCCCCTGGGACATAGGTACTCTGCAGAGGCTAGTCTGCAAAGTATGGCAATAATGATGAGAACTTGTCGGTGCGAGCTTCTTTGGCTGGTGCTGAGTTGGTGCGGTGCAGTGTGGATTTAGTGTGGCACTGTGCAGATTTGGACTTGTTGTTGTGTAGTGTGGATTTAGTGGAGTGCTGTGTAGAATTAGCTTAGTGACAGGCCTGATAGACACGACAAGATGGATTAGGAAAATTGAAAAAAACATTGTTGGAAGCTGGAGCCTTGACATGTAATTCAGTGCACTCTCGGGTCTAAATGAAACATGAGTGTGTGGTGATTGGAATGGACTATGCCAGCGGCAAGCGCTGATGGTCATATCAATCATGCGGGTTGGCTGCAAGTTCGCACTGTTTCAAACTTGGGCCTTGGGTATATAGGGCCTTAGTTACAACACAAAACGCACCAGAGCCGGCTCTGCGAGGCGCCGGCAGTGCGATGAGCACGGCCGATGCAGAGATTCGGATGCAGAGATTCGAGATGTGCACGGCCGATTGGAGGGCCAGAAGATCGCCGCTCCGCCGCTTCAAGCAGTCAAATGTGAACGATTTATCGAGTATGTTCGTATCGGGTATGTAATATCATATCACATGTTTCAACGCTTGAAACCAGGAAAAGACTGCAAACGCGCGGCTAATGCGAGCCGACATACGCCGGATCGCGATTTCGGTCAAACATGATCTCGAAAAGTAGGTCACAGGTCAAAGTTCCTTCGGGTCAGGGTCATGAAATTTTCAGAGTAGGTGTAAAATTGACTAACGCAAGGGTACTGAAATGTTCGTCGCGATCGACCGCTTGTTACGCGAGTTATTCGCGAAAAACCGAGTGGGGAGGGCGTTTGCCTCCTCCCCCTACACGGGCGAGGGTTAACAACAGCTTATGTACGCTTCTGCCTGTTTCAGAGCACTGGGTGCAGAGAACCTGTGTCAGATCTCGTCTGGCAATGTGATAGCGTTCAGCGCCAGCGGCGGCCCGGAGGAGGGCCTGAACGTGGCGGCCCGTGGCTACCACGTGTTCGTGGCCGACCTCAACACCCCGTGGGATATACACTTGTGAGTGTTAACCGCACCGCACCTTTGCAGGTGTATGTCAGTGTTGAGAATAAACTCGGACCTTTTCCTTGTGTCTCTTGTTATGTTTTTTTTTATTCTATGCTATATTTTTATTATATATTTATATTTGCTGCGATGTTGCTATTAATTGCAACGTACATACATTATGATGGAATATTGTCCTTTTGTCCCCTATCTCATTGTAGTATAACTATGTGTTAAGGCCTGGCTACACTATGCGTTTTCTTCTTGCGTTTTTTTTTTGCGTGTTATCGTTCAAGAAAAAAGTTATAAATACTTTTACATTAGTTAAATACAAAAGGTAATATAACTCTTATATTAGGTAACTAAAATTTAACATGAAAAACATCGCAAAAACGTAATATCTTTTTTTCTAGAACGATGTTACGTAAAACCCGCAAACCCGCAAATACCGCACGCAGAAAATGCTTAGTGTAGCCAGGCCTTCATGCTATGCATAACTACTCAGACATGATTGAACCCAAATGTTAAGCATACCTGCCTGGCCTATCCCCACTCGCCGCCCCCGTCTGACCCGTCCCGTCTCGGCTGCCCGCTCTGTCAGAGTGTGGAGCGGCAGCTCGCCGGTCACCTGTCTGGAGTGGGACGCGGCCGGCACGCGGCTCCTGCTCGGACACGCCGACGGCTTGCTGCAGCTGCTCCAGAGTCCGGCTCACGTCATCAACAGCTGGCACTGCCTGCACTCGGTCCGCGCCGACAACGAGCACATCGTACAGGCCATCTTCTTCCACAACGGCAAAAAGGTAGTGTCTGAGCCAGCTACTACAACAAAGACCTCAGTTGACAGTCATTTATCAGATCAGATGCTGTTTAAGTCGTTTGCAGAACTTACCACATCTATGACAGGTTAATCGCACTGTCACTTGTAATTACATTTTGTTAATCCAGTTTGAAAACTTCTGAGAATGGATTTGATGTCTCGGTATGTCCTTTCCAGATCTCAATAGCCTCGGAGAAGAAGGACAGTTTTCTGTACAACGATAAGTTCCAGAACACCTTGTTTTGCCCGACCCTGCGCCATTTCGGCGGCCGCCCGACGGATGGGTTCATCGGACTGACGTCATCAGGTGCGTATGATTTGATAACATGGCACCATGCTGCGAGCACACACCTCTTAGGTACGTCTACCAGGCGGTACATGGGGCACATCGCTGTGACTCTCTGTAACCTTTGGTTGATGCTGCTCAGTGTTTGTGCTGAGATGAGATTTGGAGGGATTTGATCGTCATTGAACGTTCAAATGCTCCGTGTAGTGATTTCTTGTGGGTAAATTATCAATATATGCCTGACATACGATCACTGTTTCGAAGTTCAAAGGTACAATTATTGTGTTTGATTGCATTTCAAAGCCAATCGCTGATTCTTTTATCACATATTTTCTGCAGGTCTTTTGGCTGTGTGCGCGCTCAACGGTAATGGGTCGGAAGCAACCTTCAAGAAGTTCGAACTGTCGAAGCGCCGTAGCTTTGTGAAGTTTGCCAGCATGGCGTATTCCAAAAGTAAGTGGCTCCTTTCCTTGCTACACGGTTTCATATGATCAAGGGGCTGACTGCGTGTGACCCTTTTTCTTTTATTATTGTACGACGCGCTGTAACATAAGCGTTAACTTCTTTGTACTGATAAAATCAACACTGACATAGACCTCTGTACATCGAGGTATACCGTGGCCTATGCTGTTGGCTATGTAATTGTATGCTGTGTAAAATGATGACTGATTCTGACCTATACAGAATATGAATGGTCTCTTACCGCAGTGCCGTCTTGTGTGACTGTCTCTGACCTCGCCGGTGACCGGTCTGTTGTTCTGGCCCGTCGCGTCTGACCCTTGGCGCCCGTGTTTCAGACGGCGACGTGCTGGTGGCGTGCTCGGCCGGTCTGCCGGACGCGCCCGTCACCTGCCACCAGGTGTCGCTGCGCCAGACGCTCTCGGAACTGTGTGCCGACGTGCAGCAGCTGTCCAGCGTGTACCTGGACTGCGGCGCCCAGGCCGACTCGGGCATGCAGGCGGTGGCCTGTGTGCGCCACCTGCACAAGGAGGACGCCAGCCAGCTGCTGGTGGCCGCAGCCGGAGACGGCGGCGGCGTGCTGGAGCTCTGGCAGCTCGGCGAGGTGCCCGTCAGCTTCGGACAGATCTTCAAACACTTCTCCGGCTCAGAACCGCGCGTGCAGGTGGGAGCGGTGGCCGGTGGGCGGGTGTAGTGCAGGCGGGGGTCGGCGGGGATGCGTCGGTAGGTAGGGCAGCAGCCGTTTGTCAGCTGTAAGGAGTCAGTATGCATTGGGGAGTAGGCAGCTGACAGGTACTGGGAGCGGTGATAGCTGGCTGTCCGGCCGGCTGGTGTGTTGTCTGTCCGGCTGGTGTGTTGTCTGTCCGGCCGGTGTGTTGCCTGTCGCGGCGGTGGCTGGCTGTCCGGCTGGTGCGCTGTCTGTCGCGGCGGTGGCTGGCTGTCTGGCTGGTGTTTTGTCTGTCGCGGCGGTGGCTGGCTGTCCGGCTGGTGTGTTGTCTGTCGCGGCGGTGGCTGGCTGTCCGGGTGGTGTGTTGTCTGTCGCGGCGGTGGCTGGCTGTCCGGCCGATGTGTTGACTGTCCGGCCGGCGGTGGCTGGCTGTCCGGCCGGTGTGTTGACTCTCCGGCCGGTGTGTTGACTCTCCGGCTGGTGTGCTGTCTGTCGCGGCGGTGGCTGGCTGTCCGGCTGGTGTGTTGACTGTCCGGCCGGTGCGCTGTCTCCCGGTGGATGTGTGACCGCCGTCTCGGCTCTCCCTGCCTCAGACGTGGCTCAAGTCGGCGTCCTACCAGTCGCAGCGGCCGCTCTCCTCTGTGGGCACGGCTCGGGTGTGTCTGCAGGACGGCGGTCTGCCGGCGCCGCCCATCGTGGCCACGACGGCCGACGGCGGCATCGTCAGCCTGCACCGTGACACCATGTCGCAGGTCAGTGACAGTGTGACACAGGTCAGTGGTACTGTGACACAATGGCTCAGGTCAGCGACAGTAGCATAGTTCAGTGACATCACGACACACTGTTCAAGCCCACTGTATTCATGCGACATACCACGCGACACCCGTCAGAGATACATAACAATAAAGGCATCACGATACTGAGTTTCGACATCATCGTCATTCTTCGCTTGAGTTAGAAACACAATGCTTGACAGTTATCGCAATAGCAAACTTTGGCATGATAGAAATATCTTTAAAATGTCTTTAGGGTGTCGCCTCATTTACGTTTTCGTGTCGTGCTAGGTGTTGCCGTTGTTACGGACGCTGACGCGGTCCCCTGCCCCAGCTGTGACGCCAGTGCTGACCCTCGGTCCTTCCCTCGGTCAGATGGCGATGGGGTGCGCGGAGCCGGCGCCGCGGCCGGCCGGCGAGCCGCCGCTGAAGCTGGCCCGCTCGGCGGCGGCGGCGGCGGCGGCGGCGGCCGACGCCGGGGTGCGTCTGACGGACGTGGCGCTCACCTCTGCTGGGCACCTGGCGGCGGCTGTGGACGACCGCGGACAGCTCTACCTGTACAGGGTGGGCGCCGCCGCCGACCCAGGTCAGTCGCCCCGAGAGCGAGCGTAGGCTGAGAGCCGCCAGTCGGGGCACAGGAATGTCGGAGAGGCGCTTTTGTTTAAACTTTTGTATTACGGTCGCCAGTTTTTGCACTAGTTTCGGTTTCATAATCATGTGTTATCAGAGTATCGTTTTGAAAGCGGGAAATATGCTACACTCACCGACATAGCTTGTTTCTGCTACGCATGTTGTGCGATCCCGTGTCCAGGCCACCTGTCGGTCATCTCATTGGTTGTAGTTCTCCGGACGTCGCGAGGCGGACTGTCGGTGGTCCGTTTGACCTGGTCCTCTGATCCCCAGGTGGTCTGTCGGTGATCTCGTATGACCTGGTCCTCTCCAATCCCCAGTCGGTCTGTTGGCTGTCCCTCAGGCGGTCTGTCGGTGGCCCGTTTGACCCTTATCCTCCGCTCCTCAGGCGGCCTGTCGGTGGCCCCTCAGGCGGTGTGTCGGTGGCCCGTTTGACCCTTATCCTCCGCTCCTCAGGCGGCCTGTCGGTGGCCCCTCAGGCGGTGTGCCGGTGGTGCCTCAGGCGGTGTGTCGGTGGCCCCTCAGGCGGTCCCTCAGGCGGTGTGTCGGTGGCCCGTTTGACCCTTATCCTCCGCTCCTCAGGCGGCCTGTCGGTGGTCTCGTCGCTGGTCCTGCAGCTGGAGTACTACATGGTGACCGGCCTGGACGTGTGGGACCTGCTGGTCGGACTGCGCTTCCACCTGTCGGGCGGCCTGGAGTCGGTCTGCGAGACTCTGGCCGACACGTTTCACCGCCAGCCGGGGCCCGTGCAGCAGTACTACTACGTCCGACATATGGCCATCAAAACGTCACTCTACAGGTACGGTACCTGCAGGGGCCGAGAGCACCAGCGACTCGGATAATTGAAGGGTTTGCTAGGTTTCAGCGGCAGTGTGATATGGATTGTTTTTTCACGATCGATGGCAGCACAAGTCAACTTCCTTGCCATCGATCGTGAATAAAACTCAATCATGTCTGATTATTTACATGGATTGTTTTGTCATGATAGGTGTTCTCGTACTCACTTCTGGTAATGCTGTGGAACCGATGCCATATTATTCTGACCATCCAATTCCTCCTGCCTCTGAGTTACCGTCTACTAATCTTCCGGGCCGGCTGCCGCCCTCTGTAACATTGACCCCGCCCCACTGAATACTGACTTGTGCGAGAGCTGGCCTCTGACCCCGGACCGTCGACCCGTCAGGCTGCTGCCGTCGGGCAGTCGGCGCGTCACCGACAACAACGCGCTGCTGATGCTGCGCTGTGTGGCCTCGGCGTTCCGCGCTTTGCTGCGGCCCACCGAGTCGTCCCTGTCCACCTCGGGCGGCGACGGCGAGCCCAGCGAGTCGCTGACGGCCTTCATGGCCAGCAACCTGGCCACCGAAATCGACAAGGTACTGCTGGCGCACCCGAAGGAGGGCGACCCGGGCTCGGCGGACGCGGCCTCGCTGGCGCAGCTGCAGCACCTGGCCCAGTGGGTGGCCGACCTCTGTCTGCAAAGCATCGCCGCGCTCACCGACGGACGGCACAAACAGGTGAGACGGCCGTCCGCGTGTCGAGGTGCTAGGCTGCTTCAGTGAACGGTGACAGGATGTCAGCTGGGCTGGCCGTCCAAGGAGTTGGGTGCCTTAGTGGGCAGTACCAGCTCAACTGTTTATCTAACGTCACTCGACGCTACAGTCTGCTGACCTGACCTGACCTGACCTGATCTGACGTGACCTGACCTGACCGCCGCAGGTGGCGGTGCTGCGGGAGCGGCAGAGCCTGCTGCTGCTGCGCGAGCTGCTGGTGATGATCCGGCGGTGGGGCGCCGTGCGGCCCGCCTGTCTGCCCGTGTTCCACCGCGGCGGCGAGCACACGGATGTGATCGCGCTCCTCTTCAAACTGCTCACCAAACTGCTGGGCATGCACTCGGCCGAGCCGGACGAGGCGCTTATCAGTGAGTACTCTAACTGCCGGGGGCTCGGCTAGGGGGAACGGTTGAGCTTAACGTTGCATGCTTGAATGGTGACGGGTTGTGGTTGAATGCATGGGAAGTGTTATTTAGATAAAAACGTCCCTGTCCTGTTCGCCTATTTTGGTATCAATTCCTGAGATTAGATTAATGGTAATTAACTGACGGATTTTAATATGCATATTAATTAACTTTATCGCACACACTGAATAGTCGAGACATAGTCATAAGAGACACATAAGTGGTACTCTTTCGATTCGGTATGGAACAAAACATTCCATCAATTATATCTGCTACACATCCTGATCCATTATACTGTATGCTGGTGTTGGCCGTTGAAAACCGACAAAGGTTACGTTTTCCCGAAGGAAGTCTTAAGGAAAATATTGCAAAAAAGTTGATTATTACCATACATCGCTTTGGAAGCTAGAGTACTGCGAACCGGGCTGCTATTGTTAGCAAATCGCATAGGTACCTGCTTTTTTCTTTTTTGCGAAATGAGATGACACGTCAATGACTCAATACTATGGGCTGCGATTCGGCGCCGATGTCCCTTGATTTGATGGACATTTCGCGTAGCTTTACCGATGGACAACTTGCTAATGGGCGCACTCCTCCGATATTGGTGGCATGTCCAGCACGTAAATTGTATGTACTGAAGCCCGCTTGCTGGTTTGATCAACGAAATGGCGCAGACGAGCGAAGACAATCAGGTACGAATTGTTTATACTTCGCACCCTACCGCTGCACACATTTCGCTGCGGCGCATTTCTTTTCCCTGGAAAACACGGTTCAGTCACGTCATCAGTGTTGTTTTTCGTGGCCGATTGCCGTCGTCTTACTACCCACACGTGCCAGATACCGAATGACCGTAGTCGAAATTAGAGTACTATCCATCTCATCGCCATTAGCGGCAATGAAAACACGGTCCGTGCCGGTGGTTATCGAACTGAAATCGGCTGGTCGGTGCGGCGGCGGCGTGTCTTGTACCGGGCCGTGATTAATGTGGTCGTATCTGTCAATCCGGCGATGTGTTGGTCGGTGTGTGCCGTGTGGGCGGGCGGGCCCGTCGTCGGCTGGGTATCGGTGGAGTGGACAGGCGGCGTCGGCTGCTGACGGGCCGGGTCTGCTGCGGAGTGTTCGCCACAGACAGGCGACTGCCGCCGCGCCGTCCGCACCGAGCACCGCTGACGGGCAGTGCGAGCGGTCTGAGCGGTCCGGTCCTGCTCCGTTCCGTCACAGCCTGGTCCGGTGACCGCTGCCCAGCCATGGCCTCCCTATCCCTGCTGTCCCCGCCGCTGCTCCTGCTGCTGCTGCTGTGGGCAGCCGGCGGCCGGGCGGAGATCACCTCCGCTCGTCTGCTGCCGCGCGAGCTGACCCGGCAGCGCCCGGTGGGCGGCCCGCTGAGAGGGCTCAGCCTCGTCCAGTGCGCGGCCGCCTGTCTGCGCAGTCCCAACTGCACGGCGGTGCTGCCCACGGGCGGCGGCGGCTGCAGCCTGCTGGAGGCGGCGCTGGACCAGTCGGGCGGCGTCACCGGCCTGCAGCTGCGCCGGCCCGTGGTCTGCCCGGCCGGCTGGGCCGAGGGCCAGCGCGGCTGCTACGTCCGCTCAGAGTCCAGCGCGCGCGCCGACCTGGCCGACCTGGAGTGTCTGCTGCTGGACGCCCGCTCGCGGATCGTCTCGATCGGCGGCGCTGCCGAGCAGGACTTCATCATCGCGGCGCTGCCGGTGGACGCCGACATGGTGATCGGCCTGCAGAGGAGCTCCGTGGAGCTGCCCTGGGTCTGGGCCGGCGGCGAGCCCGTCACTTTCCTGCCCTTCAAGAGCGACGAGCCCAAGGACGACGACGACCGACTGTACGTCTTCATGGAGAAGACCGGCGGCTGGAAGACCAAGAAGCCCAGCGACAAGGCCCGCTTCATCTGTCAGATCCCGTTCTGAGCGGCTAGTGGCGGGATCAGCCGTTCGGAAGGTTGACGAGTTGCGCAGGAAATGACAGTCCTTTCTTTGACGATTAATGTTTAGCAGTGCGTGTTTAGAAGGATATGCTGAAATATCTGTACTGAGCTTGAATACATGAACAGAGGTTTGTCGATGATACGCACCTTTTTGTAGAGGAGCTTGAAAGCATATGGTTGTATGTACGAATCGACAATATAAATCGGCAAATGCGCATCTATCTATGTACGATGAATTGTTTCACCCGATTCATCTTACTTCCGATTTCAGCTGGGAAATGCTACTTACCACGCATGCTTACAATATGCTACTTACCATATGCGTGCTTACAAGCACACTGTCATCAATTTTCAGCAGTGGTAATTCACAGTGGCCGATGGTCAGTGTCACCTTCCCCGAATCGTTAGTGATTTATCCAACTCCGCCCGTGTACGCATTGTTTGGCATTGTGTCGTATTGCTTAGTTCTGTCCAACAAAATAAATCATGGCTTTCACTGTATTTGTTGAAAGAGAACAGCCTTGAATCCACAGGTCAATGGTTCAAAGTTGAAAGCCTCACACTGGTCACACCAGGCGCCAACGCAGATTTTGCGGACGCGGTGATGCGCACGTCCTCCTAAAGACCGTCTTGCCGGCTGGGTATGGGTCTGGCTAGGGTTTTACAGCAGGGGAAGGGCCGCTTGGTGCCTCACATTATTGTTCTCTAGAACAGCAGTCGCTGAATTCCAGTGTTCATTGAGCATTTCAACCGACGGTGTTTTGATGTTGCCTGTAATTGTTTGTTCAAGAGTTTGGAGCCCCACAATTTCATTGTTGAATTTAATTTCTTCGGTGGGCCGTTGACCCTCAGCGACCGGCACTGCACTATTAATAGTTTGCACAGGCGACTTTGATATAATTAGGCAACATTATGCCCAAGGCTACCCAGCTGACAACCACTCATTTGGAGATGATTGAACTTTGTCATCCTGTCATCTGCTAGCACCAATACCGTTTCCAACAACTAATTAAGTAGAGAAAGAATATATTATGTCCCAACGAATAACCATAATAAATCAAATGTTTATCATTACAATCACAAAATATAACCATGAAGCTTTCGTTATGAAAATACCTTGGGTCGCCTTAAACAAAAGGAAAGTCAGAAATCTCAGAAATAGATATTTCCGAATTCCGACCTCCTTTTCGTGTATACAGTGACCAAGGTATTTTCACGCCGAAAATGCTGTGTGCGATTTGTTATAATATGCTTTAGGGATTTGATCTATTATTGTTACATATCACTCATAGATGCACTACATATGCATATTATGTCATGCAGTGTACACGCACCTGTTGAGCATTGAAACGATGATTCGACCTGTTATACCCCGCGAATTTTGATCTTGACTTGCGATGATGGATCGATAACAGAACATCAGAACATAATACAACATTAGGAAATGTGCAAACTTCGAACCGCTATGGAATCACAATCAAACCTTTCTGAACTAAGCGCTCACGCTACCTCTCCTCGCGCACCCGACTTTGAAAGGGATTATGTAGGAAAGCTCATCCATGACCTAGGTCAGCCCAGTGGCGCGGGAACCGGGGGGGGGGGGGCTAGCGGGGGCTGAGCCCCTCCAACTTTTCGGCTGGGGGGCTTGTAATGTATTTGAGCCCCCCCCCCCCCCCCCCAGCTGGAGGAATCGAAATCGGAAATCTACCAACATAATTTCATAGATTCATACATAGGCGCGGGAACCGGGGGAGGGGGCAGAGGGGGAAGCTTGCCCCCACAACTCTGGGGCCGTGGGGGCGGTGCCCCACAACTTTTCATGAGGCCAGGAACCGTTGGGGCAGCTTGTCCTCCCCAAATTAGGGGCTGTGGGCCACAAAGGAAGAAAGCATGTAAGTGAAAAATCCACCTCTTTCACTGGCTCGGCAACTCATTGGCAGATTAAAACCTTTATTCCAGGTTGCCAAAACGGCAGTTTCTTCACTCAGCTGAGACGGAATACCTCACTTTTTTGCAAATATTTTCGTTTTTTTTTTCGTTGAAAAGGCCAAGGTCTGAAAAATAAGTGGCCTAAAACCGGTGAGAAAACTAGATTTGGGGGTACCCTAGGTTGATCTCTATTATGGTTGAGCCCCTCCCCCCCCCCCCAGTCTTGAAGAAGTTCCCGCGCCACTCGGTCAGCCGTTCCGTCGTTTCCATCCTGAGGATAGTCGAATTACTCTCCTCCACGCCTCCACCCCCTGTTCCGGGTGTGACGAACAAATTTATTCTATGCAGAATAAAGTTCCGGGTGTGACGAACAAATTTATTCTATGCAGAAAGCCCACGCAGAAAGCTCCCCTAGGAGCACTCCCGTAGCCGGGTGCGGTGACCGTCAGGGGGTTGGGTGGCCCGTCCCTTTGGACGAGCTCAGCCCCGACGGCTCACTAGGGTGCCCGCCCAAACCAATGTCTACCCCTAATTCTTATCATGCTTCCGGCTCTGGAATGATCTTGTTAGAGCAAAAGGGCCTAACCAATCCAAAAAAGGAAATCATCTGGGTACTGTAAAAGCTTGTGGCGAACATCTTCCTGATGTGTTAACGGAAAACGATGTTTTTTTCGTCTGCCGTGTCGATGAAAAGTACCTACCTGTGGACTGATGCGCACACCGCCACTGGTTTTAACTGCTGTCGTCCGTACTTCACTTCTGTGACTCTGACTGTCACCGCGTGCTGTGCACACAGACGAGTTTTCGCTGCTGCCATCTCCGGGCCTGGCCGAGCACTGGTCTCTAGACCTGCCGGCGCGTGGCGTACTGGCCGTCAGCGCCACCGGTGCCAGCACCGCCGTCAGACACGTGAGTGGGCGACTGGGCCGGGCGGAGATGCGTGGGGTCGGCGCTGGACCGGGCGGAGATGCGTGGGTCGGCGCTGGGATACGAGTCGGGGTTTGGGAGACATAGTATGAGTTGATCCGCGCTGAACCGGCGCGAGAGGTGACACCTCGCCGCGGGACCGATGTTACACGGTCCATATAGCTGGAATCAATAAGCGGCCTGGTTCCGGATCGTGGACATAGTTATCACGTAATTGCCCTCCTCTGTTACATTCAGTTACCTAGACATCCGGAGTCGCTCGTTCGACTTTGCTTTGTAATCGGTCTGTATCTGTCCACAGTACTGTTTTTACGACTCGGAGGGCGCCGAGAGTCCCACCAGCCACCGGCGACACCAGGATAATTACACGGTGGACGCTCTGCGCTACCTGCGCCTGGGCGCGCGGCCCAGCAGTCTCAAACAGTGCACCAGGTCAGCCATTGGCCCGCGGATGTCTTCTGTGCCGAGTTATTGTCCGAGACAGATGTCTTCTGTGCTGGCAGCGGTCTGTGATGTGTCTGTGTTAACTGGTCTGTTGTAGACAGGTGTGCATTTGTTGATTACCACGCATGTGTCGACAGCCGTTTATCCATTTGTGTGGACACTGGACAGCCGTGTATCCATCCGTGTCGACTTGGGTGTGTGCCGCTGACAGTAACTTGTCTGAGCCCACCATTGACAGGTGTCTGTGCCCGCTGCTGTCAGCTAACTGTGCCTTCCGCCGGCAGTGTCTGTGCCCGCCCCTGACGGATGTCTGTGCCCGCCACTGACAGGTTGTCTGAGCCCACCATTGACGGTTGTCTGTGCCCGCCCCTGACAGTTGTGTGTGACCGCCACTGACATGTTGTCTCCGCCCGCCGCTGACGGTTGTCTGTGCCCGCCGCCGGCAGTGTCTGTGCCCGCCGCTGACAGTTGTCTGTGCCCGCCACTGACAGGTTGTCTGTGGCCGCCCCTGACAGTTGTCTGTGCCCGCCCTTGACGGTTGTCTCCGCCCGCCGCTGACGGTTGTCTGTGCCCGCCGCCGGCAGTGTCTGTGCCCGCCCCTGACAGTTGTCTGTGCGCGCCCCTGACAGTTTTGTGCCCGCCCCTGACAGGTGTCTGGCCGTCACGTCGGCTCGCTCGTCGGAGCAGCTCTCGCAGGTGAAGAGCACACCAGTGACGCGCGCCTGGGACCAGCGCTGGACGCGCGCCTGCCTCTGCGGCGGCCATTGGGCGCTGCAGGGACCCCGGCTCACGGGCCGCGCCCGCGCCGCCTGAGACTGCGTCCCCATCCCAATACAGACAAAACCGAGGCGCATCAGCACGGCAAAGGTGAAGTGTTGCGATGTAGCCGCCACCGTGTATGTAAAGCAGTCTTGCGGACTTGCTGTTTATTTGTCCATTGTGTATTTAATGTATGCAGCGATTGTTGAAATGATTTGCGTAGCGTACGACCGGTAGAAAATGGAAGCTCCCATGCGAAGAAGTATTTCTGCCCTCCGTGTCGTATTTTATTAAGATAATAAAAGCGACCAGGTCAACCAAGGCTTGGCGCTCGCTAAGCAGCGACCATTCACAAACATGGCACATGTTTCGTTATAACTGAGTTGGCAAAATATCGGCGGATGCACCCGACAGTTCGCTGAGCTGGGCTACTGGCCCGCGTGCGACCCCCATTGGTCACTGTCGCACCGGCTGCACCACGTGCCAAGACGGTCGCCAGCGCGATCCAAATGGAACAGACACATACACATCTACAGCACCACTCCGATCCAAACGGCGGGGGACATGCGTGATTCAAACGTGGCGCGGGACCGTACACCTTCAAACAGCTGGGCAGCGCGAGGTCGTACACATTCAAACAGCAGCGCGGGACCATACATATTCAAACAGCAGCGCGGGACCGTAAAATCCAGAAACCGCCGAGCCAAGTCACCTCCGAAGTCCACATAGATATTACATCCAGCCACCAGCGACGCTCTTAGCAGACCCTCGCTCATCGTCAATTCACAACTGGCAAAGCAGCGAAGCAAACACTAACTAGGAGCACTACGTAACGAAAATACCTGGCGCCGCGCGCAGCGAGCGTGCACGAAGCGGGCTGAGGTGCCCGCTCTCACCCCCTAGGACACGTATTATCCGTCAGGTACGAGGCGACGGGAACCGCTCGGGGCCGGCCGCTCTGCTTGGCAGCATTCGTAGATACAAAACGCTCGCCCGAAAAATATCGCCAAGGCACCTATAACTTCGAGCCGCGACGAATTGGCGCCGAAACAATAAAGGAACACCATACACGGGAATTGCACATCTAGCCTCTACAACCTACTGGCTCAGTCGCCGTAGCCCCCCCATTCGCTCTCGCTAACCAGTGTAAAACCAAATACCACCGGCCCCAACAGGCGGAAGCCAGCGCTGCACCATAGCAGCTCCCGTATTCCGTATCCGTAGACGACGCCGCGGATGCACATTGCCGTCTCACGGCTGACAGACCCGTCGCAATAGGTACAATTAGTAATGCCCACTCCGGGCAGCTGTAACTACTGAGAACGTGACTAACTGATGACTAGTCTATAACCAGGTGTCTACTGGCGTTAACAGGTACCCGGTGCAGTATCAGACGGCGCACCCTGTGCCCGGCGCGCTCAGGACCCGTGGTCGGTACTGCCTCCCCACACCTACAGCGCTACGGGGGCCGGCCGCGGGGCGGGCGCGGCCCCGTCAGGTACCGTACAGTCTCTCCCAGTCCGCCGGCCGCCGAGCTGGCGGCTGCTGGGCCGGCGGGCGGTGTATAGGTGGCGGCGCTCCATAAGCGGCGCCCCTAGGTGGCCGCCCCGGGGCCGGCCTGCGTGGTCTGCAGTACGCCGTCCAGCAGCTGCAGCGCCCGGTGCAGGTTCACCTCCACCCAGCAGGGCGTCTCCTTGATGCTCTGCCGCCGGTAGTCGGGCCCCCAGCCCTTGACGAAGCTCAGGCGGAGGATGCAGAGCCGCCGCAGGTCGTCCACGCCGATGCCGGCCACAGAGGAGATGGAGACGGACGACGAGAGGCCGCCGCCGGCGCCGTCACCCTGTCCGTGGCCGGCCACAGCCGCCGCCTGCGCGGCCGCCGCCGCCGCCGCCTGCGCTGCCTGCTGCTGCATCTGCCGGTGGCACTGGTGCAGGTCGAACACCTTGATGTAGGCGGCCGGGTAGATTTTGTGGACGGCGTCGCCGGGCGCGCGGCCCGCCTCCCGGTCCAGGTAGTAGCTCTGCACGAACACGGCGTGGTCGCTCAGACAGCGCAGCCACACGTCGCCCTCGCCCTGCAAGTCCAGTTGGACGCCCTTGCCGATGTGCAGCCTGCCGCCAAACGCACCAAATCGGAGTCAGAGGACACGTCCAGTGGGCAGGGACACAAAATAGAAGCGCGCGAGGTTTACTTCTAGTATTTCATGGGTGTTAATAGTAGAGACTTCAATCAAATTATTACACTACAGTAAAGAGGCACGCACCCGTAAATAACAAGTCAGTAAGTAATTTGTAATTCACAACTACCATTGACCGAAGACCAGGCGCCTAAACCCTACCGAAATCTCAGAACATGCCAACACTTCACAATCGACCGGCCGGCGCTGCACGCGGCGCCCCAGGCCTCACCTGGCGCGTTCGCTCTGCTCTGTGCGGTGCACGTTGCTGAGGGCGCCCAGACAGAAGCGGCTGTCCCCGGATGGGTCCACGTAGCCGTCCACGGTGACGGACGCCATGCTGGAGGGCACTTTGAACGCCTCGCCCACCTGTGGAGCGACGCCTCGGGACGTCAGCCGTAATAATGGTGTAGCGTGTCGACAAACCACAACTCAGGACGTCAGCGATTGTAAAGAGCAGGCGGACAGGCACAATATGTCACGAACAGACAGGAATAAGGTGTCGCAGCAGTGAAGATAATACATGCGGTCCTGCTTGATTTCAGAGACAGTAACAATAATTGATACGGAAACTCCGCGCAACGTCAGAGACGATTGACAAAACGACAACGTAGGGGCGGGACCTGAGAGCTTGACGAATGGACAGGGTAGGGTTTTTTACTTACGGGAACAGGGTACGACATAACGTCAGAGATGGGAACGGAACAATATGGTACTGCGATGTCAGATGAGACAGGGTGTTGTAGAACATCGGGTACCGCGTTCCTCACTGGGTCCCAACGAAAAAGACTGGGTAGCCACGAACAAGGCATGGAATCGCACCACGAGATAGAACGAACTCTCATACAATTTAAAGTAAATGAATCCGCACTTTCGGTAACATGGAAACCGTAATTGGTTGTATGTCGGTATTCTCCAGACAGCTGGTAAGATCGCTCCAGACAGGTAAGGGTCGTGGCGTCTGCCGACACTCGCCTGCGTATCCAGCTCGAAGTAGCTGATGCTGCACCAGAACTCTGGCGGCGGCACGCTGGAGAGCAGCACCTGGGTGTCCTGGTGCTGAACGTGTCCGCCGGCGCCGCCGCCGTCTGTCGGCACCGGTCAGCACCGTCAGCCGCTCCGCAGACACGTGAACACGTGCACACACATGTGATCGTGTGACAAGGATTTCAGTCAGGATAGCACGAGCAAAGATAAAAAAAATCAAAATGAGTCGCGGCATCGACGACAAATAGTGAGATGCACCAATATCCGGGCAGCGCCGCGGCCCGTCGTCTCGCCGGGCGGCCGCTCACTGGGGTGTCACTCACAGTAGCCGGCCGGCCGGTCGGCGCTCAGCGTCGGCGGGTAGCTGAGGGTGGAGGTGGCGCCCGCGGGCCGCTCGGCCCGGCCCGGCCACGAGCCGCCGTACTGGGCCGGCGTGCTGACGGCCGGCGGCGCGCCGCCCAGCCCTCCGTACCCGTTGGCTGACTGCAGGTGCGGAGACAGCGGCGGCAGCGAGGACGGTCCGGCTGGCGGCACAGGGCGGAGCGGTCAAACGCGGGCAAACAGCTGTCACCGGGCATCATGGACGCCTGTCGCCGACACACTGACACACTAACCTGCTGCGCACCTGGATAACCAAAGCAGGCGCTGCAAAAGACCCACAGCAGCGCATTTATCATTACAACGTATAAAGTAAAACTATATGATATGCACCACTGACTGATCTGGAACTGGTGTACCGCTGAGTGTTCGCGGACTACGGACCCGGGGCGGGATGGCCGTGTACTGGTCCCGACTCCGGCCAGCAGCCCTACCGTGCAGTGCGGACGGCGGCCGGCAGTCGGGGCGCGCGCTTACGTGTGAGCGGCTCGGCGAAGGACGGCGAGTCTAGAGCGGCCGGACAGGGCGAGCCAGCGGCGGCGGCAGACGGCGACCCGGGCGCTGCAACACCGACACCGGCACACTGACACCCGGCACACTGACACACTGACACCCGGCGAGCGACACCGGCACACTGACGCCCGGCACACCGGCACACTGACACCCGGCACACTGACACACTGACACCCGACGAGCGACACCGGCACACCGACACACCCAGAAGCGCGCACTGACACACAGACAGCGGAGTTACGGGCAGGCCACACTGAACCTGAGCGCGGCACACGAGCCAGCACACAATGGCACACTCAGCAGAGGATACCAACACGTCGGTGCGATGCCCGACTAAAGTTAGTTAGTAAAGTAAAGTAAAGTAAAGTAAAGTTAAACGTATCACACCCAGCTCGTGTGGCCCAAGGTCTGAGTACTGAGTAGCGAGTGTCACATGACTGGCGTTACCAATGCATCAGCTGAATAATTTGTGTATGTACCGAAGCCCACTATCCGCATTATACCTCAGCCCCAGTTACACTTCAGCTGACACTGTCAAACCTCGCGGGACTGTTATCAGCAGCCACACCAACCCCAACCTAACCAGGGGAACCCACGTGAATCCATCCCGTTCAGTTACACCAAATGACTGAATCCGGGGGAAGTCATCCCAATTCCCATACCAACCCGTTCAGGCTTTTTCACAAATTAAATCATTGAGCGGGAGTTAACCCACACCAATCCATCCGGGAGTTATAACCCCTCAGCACATTCCACGAAAAATTGTCCGACACTAGCACACCCAAAAGAACACCGAAATATCAATCTGGCATCTGTACGAAGAAATATAAAGCCCACACCGACACATCCAGCAGGAGTTATCCACAGCCCACACCAAAACATCCAGCAGGAGTTATCCACAGCCCACACCAAAACATCCAGCAGGAGTTATCCACAGCCCACATCAAAACATCCAGCAGGAGTAGCCCACACCATGAACATCCAGCAGGATTTACCTGACGCACAAACCAACACATCCAGCGGGAGTTTTCTGAAGCCCACACCAGCTGCAAATCCGGTAGGAGTTAGCAGCAGCCAAGAACAAGTCGGCTGACCCAGTGCACGGGCTCAGCCAGGGAAGGGTTGCAGCACGTCCAGCACTCACTCTGTGACGGCGGCAGG